GGCAACATGTAGTGGAGGTACTTTGCTTCCAGTACTGTATTGATGGTAGAGATACCATTTTTTTTAGTGCTTCATCAGAAAACACCTATTTGTTGTAAAGGAAATATTTTTGAGAAATAACTTTCAACAGAAGATTTACAGAAATATAGGCACAGATGTAAAAGCAGTGGTGTTATTCAGGCTGCCTCATAGCTCTTGACCCTGCAGTTTCCCAGATCTCAGGCCTTGCCAGTACAGTGCTGTGCAATGGTGGAGCCAGGAAACAGCTTGGGGATGTGAGAACTCCTAGGCTTTCTAACATATATTTATGTTTTGAAGCTTTCTCCACTGCCATTGGACTTGGAGCTCACGTGCACTCCATTGTGGGTGGGTTTCTGGCTTGCCAGGGACTTCGTGATGAGATTCTTTGCAATACCCTCAAGTTCTTTATGAGTTTTTAGAAGTCAGCTTCCTAGCTGAAGTGCAGGTTTCATTAGAACTACAAAACCAGGCTGATCTTCCAAAAAATAACTGTTGGGGAATTTTTGCTTCTGTCAAACGGTTGGAAAATTGTAGGGTTTGTTCCAAACTGGAATAAAATTTTATTGTCGTGTGTACAATTGCCTGTTGGGTTTCAGTCAGTTTTAATTCTCTTATGTTGTTTTCAGAAAAGGTTTTGTGTGTGTGTGTCATAGTTCAGCTGCCAAGGGTAAATTTTATTCTAATTTTAAAAAAAAGTCATGAGTTTCTATGAGAGTGCATCAGTTGGAGACATTAGCAATGGAAATCTATTTATCTATGTTCATAGAGACTATGAATCTTCAAAATCTTTAAAAAAATGAAGCAGAAATAGAAAGCACATAATACCACAATCCAATCATGCTTTCTTACAAGCTCTTTGCGTTGAAGGCCATTCTAACATGCAATAGTCATAGTTGATGTCAGCAGGACCCTTTATTTCACTAATCCTTCTGGAACACTATCAGATGTGACAGCACTCTTGCTGATTGGGAAACTACCCAAGAATCTCAGCTGCTTTTAGACATCCCTCCAAAATCTTTTATGAGATCGTGCAGTGATACTTTCATCCCAACCTATAACATGGTGACTGTTACCCTTCTTGGAAAATAAAAACAGAACAGAAAATATATAGATTGGTAAGGACCCATTAGCAAAAGCCAAGTAATGCAGATGGGTTTGAAATAAAAATCAGAGTAAGGCATATTTGTGACAAGGAAAAGGTCTTCAAATGTTACTCAACACCTTGCTCACAACTTAGCAGAAGAGTATGCATGGGTATTAATTTTTAATAAACCAATACTAGTCACTTCCAGAACTTTAAAAAAATCAGCATATTTGCTCTCCTTCAGGAAACATATATTTGTTGATCCATGTGACATCAAAGCATCATTAAAAAGAATGACTTTACTAAGTCAGTCAGTCAATACAAGATGGAGACAAAGAGTTAGGCTGAATTTCTTCTAGAGACTCAAATTTACCTCCCTCTCTTTCAGGGAATATGGTCTTTACCTAAATTTAAATTTGAATTTGAATTTGATCATGCACTGCTGAAAGACTTCATAAGATGGTAGGTAATGCTGTGAAAATGAGCATGTGAGCTTACACAATTAACAACAATGAGATTACATGGACAAATGAGATTTACCAGTAAGAGGCTGGCACCAAAAAATCTGACAGAAATTCAGTGCTTTGAGTCAGAGAGAGACACTACGGAGGTACTGACCAAACTGCTGTACGCTTTTCCAAACACAATACAAGCCCGTAGACACACACACACACACACACAAAAAATAGAGTCAGTAATCCTCCAAACCTTGGGCATAGCAGGTGGTATGTGGAATGTAAATGTCAGGCCATCCTGTTGTATGGCAGGTGAATGTCTTACACACTAGATGACATTAAGAGAAACTTGCCTTATGTGACCACCCAGGTGTTTGGCTATAAAGACTGCCTAGCAGTACTAGTATCAAACAACAGGTCAAAAAACATTTTTCTTAAGACCTCTGAGATACTCTGAAGGAATCTCTTCAGGCTGAAGCTTGTTTACTGATGGATACTTTAGTGTAAGTGTCACTGCAATTCCTAATTGACTTCAGACATAATGATGTCTTCCAGGTTTGGACGCTTTGGTGATGTACCTAAAAATAAATGACCTTGGAGTTTTAAACTGATTAAAAATGAAAAGTAATTTATCAAAAAATGGCTCAGCTCTTGTCTACTCTCATTTAAAGAGTTTAGACACACTGCTTACAGAAGAACTGAATACATAAAAAGGAAATTACACTTGAAGGACAGTTCTGTCGATAACGTATTGGATGAGGACTGAGGGGACCTAGGCTAACTTCCGAGCTCTCCAGTAAACTCTCCAAGTTTGGGTAAGGTGGTCAGGCAGCCTGTGAGGCTCTGCCTGCATCTCCTCATCACCAGAAGGGCACCGGATGCACGAGAGACGCAGAGAGGCTGAGGCAGGCCAGCGTCCAGAAACAGGATAGTGGCATTCTTGTGGCGCTGTGCCAGAGGTAATAAACGCTCTGCAGGGCTCCTTCCTTCAGCAGAGATCTGCGGGACTGTGGCTATAATGCTTAGGAACCAAGCTGGTGAGCCTGCACTGGACTGCACCATATGGACTTTCCAACCCAGGTCTCCGGTAGCTTCAGGGACTCTGCTTTGTGCTCCACTGCACAAGGTAAACATGCCCTCAGATTCCGAACTGTTCAGTGGTAGCACTTCTGTACCACACTGGGATAATTTGATGATGCATTTATTAATGTCCGTAAGACTGGATGCATGGAAGGTGACTACCATATAAGCACAGAGGCAAAAGCCTAAAGGTTCGAAGCAAGGGAGTTTGACAGCTCCTGAATTCTGCCACTGCCCTAACGGGAAGAATGCAGTGACTGTCCTCAGACTGGTCAGCGTAACGGGTGCTACCTTTGGGTTTCACACTTACCTTTGTCTTATGTCTGGCCTGAGGATAACCTCAGGCATAAAAGTCAGGACCAAGTAAAGATGAGAGTTGTAACGCTGGAGTACAAAGTGATGCCTGGTGGAATTTAATTTGGGTTTCAAATTAATGCTCACTGGAGTGAAATGTCTGAGGAAGGCTCTCCACAGGCAGGTTCATAACCAGCATGTGTGCTGCAGGCAGGAATCATAAGAGTAGACAACTTCCTGGAAATCTTTGTATATGGTGTAGAAAACTGCTACTTTTTACATTTAAAATTACCACAGGAGTTAACACATAGAAAAGGGAAAGGTGAAAGGAATAATGCCATTGTGAATGTTTAATTAATGAGCAACTGACATCATCTACCTGGACTTGTGCAAAGCATTTGACACTGTCCCACACAACATCATTCTCTCTAAATTGGAGAGACATGGATTTGACGGATGGACCACTCGGTGGATAAGGAATTGGCTGGGTGGTCGCACTCAAAGAGTTGCCATCAATCGTTCGATGTCCAAGTGGAGACCAGTGATGAGTTGTGTTCCTCAGGTGTTGGTATTGGGACCAGCACTGCTTAACTTCTTTGTCGGAGACATGGACAGTGGGATTGAGTGCACCCACAGCAAGCTTGCTGAGGACACCAAGCTGAGTGGTGCGGTCGGCATGCTGGAGGGAAGGGATGCCATCCAGAAGGACCTTGACAGGCTTGAGGGGTGGGCCTGTGCAAACCTCATGAAGTTCAACAAGGCCAAGGGCAAGGTCCTGCACCTGAGTCGGGGCAATCCTAAGCACAAATACAGGCTGGGCAGAGAATGGATTCAGAGTGGCCCTGCAGAGAAGGACTTGGGGGTGTTGGTTGATAAGAAGCTCAACATGGCCCAGCAATGTGTGCTTGCAAACCAGAAATCCAACCGTATCCTGGGCTGCATCAAAAGAAGCGTGGCCAGCAGGTGGAGGGAGGTGATTCTCCCCTCTAGTCTGCTCTCATGAGACCCCACCTGGAGTACTGCGTTCAGCTCTGGGGTCCCCAACATAAGAAGGACATGGACTTGTTGAAGCGAGTCCAGAGGAGGGCCACAAAAATGGTCAGAGAGCTGGAACACCTCTCCCATGAAGAAAGGCTGAGAGAGTTGGGGTTGTTCAGCCTGGAGAAGAGAAGGCTCCAGGAGGCCTTATAGCAGCCTTCCAGTACCTGAAGGGGGCCCACGAGAAAGCTGGAGAGGGACTTTTGACAAGGGCATGTAGTGATAGGACAAGGGGTAATGGCTTTAAACTGAAAGATGGTAGATTTAGATTAGATATAAGGAAGAAATTCTTCACAATGAGGGTGGTGACACACTGGAACGTGTTGCCCAGAGAAGTTGTGGATGCCCCATCCTTGGAAGCGTTCAAGGTCAGGTTGGATGGGGCTTTGAGCAACCTGGTCTATTGGAAGGTGTCCCTGCCCATGGTAGAGGGGTTGGAACTGGATGATCTTTAAGGTCCCTTCCAAACCAAACCATTCTATGATTCTATGAATTGCCAGGAAAGCTCTTATTTTGCAGTAATGAATGGATGTCTATGGCAGTTATTTCTCATTTTAAATACCTAATCTGATATTATATTTCAGCTCAAAGTACTAAACAAGAAAAGATCCTGTAATCTAATCATACCACAATCCAGGTGACATCTGTACTAGGCAGAATACTGTTGTTATTCTGCTGTCTAGTTGCTGTTGCTGAGAATGATGAAGTAGCGAAATTACATTTTCCCATTATTATTTCCAGACACTCTCTGGCAATGGTTTGTTGACTCTAATAAAGCTTCAGACAAAGCTGTCAGCAGAGGAAATGGCAGAAAGGGAGCAAGGAACAGCCTCCACAACAATACATGAATCTAAAGTCTCAGTGATAGGTTGTGCATTTTCTGACAAAATTTAATGTGTGTGTTTCAGAATCTATCATAAAGCTGCAGCTGCATTCTAGAGGGATAAATATATTCTATCAAGTCACGGTGCTTAAGACTTTGACAAACATAAACATATTATGAAGGATTAAAGTGTCAGAAGCCTTACCTGCTATAGTGTTGAGGAACATCAAGTATTCAAAGTTAGATATCTCCCGTCTCTGCCAGCGCTGAGTCATGTTGGAGGATTTATAAAGCTGTCGGGGAGTGGCCAGAGAGATTCTCCTAGGAAATACATTTAAAGAATGATATTTTTTAAGAGCCTCATTAAATGTTAAGATGTAGGGCAATGTTATTAGTGTGATTAATTTCAGATTCTCTCAGAGGCTTTTTTATTTCATTTAATGAAGTCAAGAAGACACTATTACCCTTATTTGAGAAATGACTAAAATTAAGATCTGTATTTTATTTTACCAGTACTACAGCATTGTAATAATTCAGAATAATATATTTTGTGTTTTATTTTATTCTGAATCTGGTTAAAACACTGGAAGTAAAAGAAACTGCAGACCTCCTGGTGCCTGGCTTGTCCAGCAGGAATAAAAGAGGAATACCATTTCCCTGTTTCAAAAGGATACATTGAGATAAGTTCATTAAGGTGAGTGAGTGATAGATTAAAGTGCCATATATTTCCAGCACATGGGTTGAAGATATTTATTCCACAATTTGTGTACCTCCTCCATGGTCAGATACCCATGATCCCTTCCTATATCCCAGTAAGCTTCAAGATTTCTATTTATAGGCTGGTTTCTGAAAGAAACAAGGTTTATTCAGTTATCTGTTCACACTTCCATCTGCCTGTCTCCCATAATAACTTCTGAATTGCATTTCATTCAAATTTGGAAGAGGAGTAGAAGCTTCTAAGATACTCAATTTTCACACATTTTCTAAAATTTACATGACTGGATAAGGGAGAAACAACCAAACTACTGTGCCAAGGAAGAGAAAAGCAGAAAACTTCCGCTCTTCTCTATTAAATTTGACAATATCACAATAACCAAATACTGTGCACCAAGTTCTAAATTACCCATAGTATAAACTGTCCCTGCTGGGTAAAATATAGGGGCCTAGATTCAGTCTAGACTAATGCATTAAAGAAAAAAATCTGCAACAAGCAAAAATAGCCTCACTGCTCACAACTCATTTCTAGAGAAAATAGTCCTTGCTGAAAAAAAGACAAGGAAAATCTTTGGAAGGAGAAAAAAATCATCTCAGGTACTTTTTTTAAAAGAAACTTAAATCTTATAAATGGATCAAAACAGAGAAAACGTTTATACCTGCTAAAAAAAAGAGGATCCCTACTGTGTAGCCTATTCATTAATTTAAAGAATGTATCTAGTATTTATATAACTTTTCAAGAGTAAATAGGGACACCCAATGCTTCAGCTTTCAGCTGCACACTAAACACACTAAGTGTACTATTTCTAGACTTTGAATGCTGAGTATTTTCTTAAAATAAAGTCATATACAAGGTGTCAAATTGGGCAGCAATTACAAAAACGTGGACCATCTACTTCTGAAGATATATGTACATACCTCCTACACATGCACTAAACCCTATTTCCGGAGAAAGGATGGTATGCAATTGGAGTGTACAGTTATCACAGCTATATGTCTAAATTGTCAATGTGTAGGTTGTCAATGTCTGCCATACTTACTCTTTACAAACTGGGCATACAAAAATGACCATGCAAGTGTAGACCCACTTTCTTCTTTTTTTTTTTAATTTCCGTATTTACCCAAAATAGCTGTACATAAGGTCTTGCCAGCTTGGCTGGATGCCAATGGTATTCTTTACTAGTACACAGTACTAGTACACTGGTATACTTTACTAGTACACAGGAGACATTACAGAACTTTTTAAAGTTGTTTCTCTTATGCTTCTTCTGAACAATTTATCTAAAGAATTATCTGAATGTAATCATACTTTATATTGCATTTTATAGGATAACGATTGCTTTTACAGTAGAACTCTCAAAGACGTATTGTTCCCAGTAAACTATGACTAATGCTACACACAAATTAATAAATACAGAAAATAAAAATACTAAAGAGATCATTAAATTTACAAAGCATTTCTGTCACAGACTTTCCGTTCCTCCCATGACAAAACAACATTTATGCATCAGTACAGCTTAGTAGCTGCTTTTAGACTTTACCAACAATCTCCCAGGGAGTCTCAAAAATCTATAAACTGTCAAGTGCTGGACTTTGCATTTGAAACGCCTGATTTGAGCAAACTCTACAGAAAATCAAAATATACTAAAAAAGCTCCTTATTTACTCTATATCTAAGGCATTTGAAAGATTTACAGTTATTTCAGCAGAGACAAAAAAATTATGCACAATAAATTGGTTCCACACTTGCTTGTTTCAGTTGATACAGGAAGACCCACTGTTTTGTGTTTTGCTAAATCTACCCAACTTTGATCAAACCATTTCTCTCCTTCGATATGCCATCACCAATATGAAGATGCACAAATGAATGTGCTTCCTTTGCTTCTACAGAACTGGGAAATACCTACTCAAAATGGAAACTGCAGACGACCCTCTGAAGTACAAGGGGATGATCCAATTTTTCAAGTTTTACATGCTTTAAATATGTTTAGAAAACACTTCATGGCATTTTGTTGAGTGAAGGGATGTTATATATCCCATATGTGGAGCTTGACCCACCCCCTTTCACAATCACTTTTAATTTAGTTAGCTACAATCCAATGTCATACAAAGAATCTTTAAGTATCTTGTCAAAAACGTAGAACCTGCATGATGTTTTATGTTGTGTTGCTCCTGTTCAGAAAAAAAAAAAGGCTTGGGAAAGTCACTGGCTTCTGACAAGAGACTCATCAATATTTACTTTTATTCAAAGCTCCAAAAAGGGGTTTTATGCTTTGGTGACATCAAATCTTAGTTTTCCTACACCTTTCCCTTCCCAAAATCCAACCTCTGCAACCAGCTATACTGAGATCTGGAAATGCATCCCTAAGCTACTGATGTGGAATAAGTGGCAGAGCTGAGCTGACATTGAATATAGTTATCGTACCAACCAAAATACGTTTTCTTTCAGAAAAATCTTCATAATTTGTATTTCTTAGCTTTAATAACTGAAGCCATTGTTTTATCTAATGCATTAATAGCCCACAGAATTTCAGTGGAAGGTGCTAGCACATGTTTAGTGGTGAAGCATGATACTGTATCTTTTACCAATTCTTTGATCTCTGTATGCTTACAAAACCGTCAGGCAGCTCACAGTTGGTTTCTAAGCTGTCATGTTACCCTCAATAAAAAAGCATCAGTAAATTACACGTGAGATATTAGAACCCTAAAAAGTGGTCTGCTAATAGCATTGTAAAAATGCAGATATTACTCTACCTATGTAGAATCATATGGAGCTGTAGAAATAAGTTAAGTAAAAGGCACAAGTACTGTCTGCCCAGTTGTATCACATGGCAAGGTCATAAGGAAACTACAATCAATGCAACGTTTCAGGAACAGTGCAAATGCATTTATCAAAGACAGATGAATTTGATTACCAAGTCAGACTGAACTCTTCAACATGTGACTAATTTTAAGGACATAATTACTTCTTTGTAACATTAAGCACAGGCTAGGCTTGAACACTTTGTTGAATCAAAGCATTAGACAGGCTGTTGGGAAAGGCAGTGAAGAGGCAAACTGGAGACTTGCTCAGAACAGCAGGTCTGTAACAGTCTTGGGAAGAGATACCAGTTCGCCTGCTTCTAATTCTTCATGCCATTAGAAGACCATAAATACTGCTTTTTCCTTCTATTTCCTTCCATCTTTGTTAATCGCAGGATTTCTCCATGAAAACAGAAATGCACTTAAAGTCCATGTACTGCATTAAAAGTAATTTACTCCAGAATGCTTCCATTGTGAACGTAATTCTTTATGATAATGTAATTAACTTTAGATGAAATGTTTATCAGAGTAGTATCAGAGAGGAAATACTACTTACAAAAATAAAACTAAAGAACTTAAGGAAAACAACCAGAAAGATCTGCTTTTGTTAAAGTATTTTAAAGTACAGCTTAATCTGGAAAATTGGTGATAAAAAAAGGATAACATTTTACACAGCGTAGCAGCTCCTTTTGGTTACTCAGCATAATCTCTCCTTATGTTAGTTATACAAATAAGCATAATTTAAAAATTGGCATTCCAGAGCCAACATATTCATAGGAAGGGAAACTATATTCTAACTACAGAGCAGTTATAGAGCCAGATTTTCCCTCAGTTACTCCACTGCAATCCTAGTGAAGACAATAAGGGTATGTGAAGACAGAAAAAAAGGAAAAACCATGATTACAGGGTCTTTATTGTGCATAAATCATACCATGATTACACAAAAACAAGAAAGAAAAACAACTTCACTACCATATGCCAGATTTATTCTGAAGGCTAGCAAGCCCATTTTCGATTCAAATTGAACTTTAATCAAAAAGGTATGGAAATAACTGCATATAATATTGAAGCTGAAACTTTTCTAAATAATTATATATCAACAAACTTTTTCAGACAATTATTCACTGAATAATGCACAAAGGATATGAATTTCAAAAGTAAAAAATGTCACTGTAGATATGAAATTCTGATTGAGAAATTTGCATTCTGTTTGTTCTAGAACATGTGGCCATTTTTATTTCAGAAAAGAATACTATTACTTTCCATTTAGAGACAGCAATTCCTTTAATTTGAGTATTTGGAAGAGCAATGCAAATACTAACAAGATGCACCTTCCAAAGAAATGCCCCAACTTCCCCTTGATCTCAGTGAAAACTTGAGAAATTTGGCAGTTTGCCTAAGAACTTCAGTATATTCAGGAGATCAAGCCTTAGGCATCATGAGACTCTTGAGCTCATGACAGGGAATGATGTTCAGCTGGGAACGAAATCATTTTCCAATCCTACAAATGCTTTGACACTTCAGAGTATTTCCACATTCTGCACTGGGATAAAACAAGGACAATATGAAGTTTTAGTTTATAGGAAATTACTTAAAGAAAAAGACACATCCCAGACATTACACGGATGATTAAGTCATTGGCTTTTGGCCAAGTCAAGCCAAATGGAGATCTGAACCCAAAGCACCATATTTTATGAATTTTCTCCTGTTCCCTCACTCCTTTGTTTATTTATTTTTCTTTCATTTTGACTAGAAATTAATCCTGAACCTAAATATTTTTCACCAAATTTCTGCTGATACACCCTCAAAAACAATTTTAGGTCTGAACAGACATTTCTAATCAAAAAAAAAAAAATTGGGGGCAGGAAATTCTACCCCCCAACTCAATGAAGTACACATGAAGATCATCTTACCCATCACTGAAATATGAATACTTTTATAGTACAGGATCTGGCAACTCCCAGCCTTATTTCTGACCACAAGCTGATTTGATATTGATGTTTATGAGATAATAAAAACTGTACTTGTCCACAGTATGTGAAAATCTCTAAAACTGAACCTTAGTTGGTCTTTTCCAAAATACATAACCTCCTTAATTTTGGAAACAGAAGTATAATAATGCATTATACTAATGAATGGCAGGAATTCAGAAATTGCGAAATAGCCACTATACTGATGAGCAATGAAATAAAACCCACACACATCCATATAAAAGGCAAGTGAGAAGATAGATAGATAGAGATATATATATAAAAAAAATTTTCATTCGGCAAACACAAAACCTAGTCAAGTTTAGTTCCATGTCCTGCATAACGATCACAGCAAGGATGAACGTTTGTCTATACATTTATAAAACCTGACTGAAAACCAGACTTTGAAGAGATAAGGTATAAGTTTTTTTCTGGTCCTTCACTGGAAGGTACTTATTTCCTGTAATGATTAAAAACAGAAATCTAATTTACAATACTTCTACTTCTATTCCATAATAACAGGCCATATATTAAGTAAAGGGTATTGTTTCTCAAACTAACCTTAAGAAAGAGAAAATCTGGAGTTTCATGACAGGAATAATGTTTTAGTATTGACGTTTAAAAAATATCATTCGTATAATACAAAAACCCACAAAATATACAAACTATTTTAATTAAATTACCTGGCTTGTGGCAAACCATAGCTGGTTCCTACTCCAACACGTGGTAAGCTGTACACAACCTTTTTCACTGTTGCTTGGTCAGGAAAATTAAACATAACAGAAGCTAAATGAAGAAGAGAAAATATGGACTAGTAAACCATATGCAGTAGTCTGTTTCTCCACCTGCATATATTTTAAAAATGCTCTTTGGTTTTTCTTTGGGAAGAGAAGTCAGTTCCACTTCTATCCTTCTGGGGATCCAAGTTAAAACAGAAATTCCTGGCATACTTCATACCTATGTATCATTAGCTGGTTAACGTTTTGGCACTCACCTCCCACTCTGCAGAAGACCTGAGTGAGGTACACTTCAGAGGAACCGGAGCTTACCATTAACCCTTATAACCTATCAGGCTGGGAAGCAGTTCAGTAGTTGGCATGGCATTCGGTCTTCTAACTGGTGCATTAAAGCACACAGGACCAAATATTAATTCCCTCTCCAGCTGAAATCAAAACTTACATCAGAGCTCCTCGGGGCAAAAGACTACTGACACACCTCACCCACCACTCAACTCTGATTCAGAGTAGCATGTACTGAAAACTGAGAGTATCTATTTACTGGTCTGGTCCTTTTTACTTTAACTCAGTTTATAATTAGAAAAGGAAATGTCGTTTTAGATATTTCACTAAAATATTTACAGAAAATGGAGGAGAGGGGTGAGATCATAGAAAAAGCAAATTTCCTATCAAGCATTTGAAGAATTTCCTAATTGTAATGATCTATTTTTATAAATAAATCTCACTGCTGCACAGAAAGCAGTGAGATTGATTTATGTGATTGATTTTAATACAAAATGCAATGAATACATGCAAGAGTAAGCATTATTGAACACAGACATAAGCACTTTATCAAAGGAAGCACAGAGTTTAAATTCTGAGATAACACACAATAAATAACACACAAAATAACTACTAGCACATTTTTATGCAACAAAATAAACAAAGACATACTTCTGTTTGCCATAAACACTTCCAAAGCTGTGTTCTGGAGAAGGTAACGTCTTGAAAAAACAGCCCGAATCTCACTGAACATCCATTTTCCATGAAGGCCTTCTGTATAGGCGAGGACCTTTTTAAGAAAGTCAGGGTGACAGTTATTAGCAGGAGTTTTTCATTAAAATATTGCATAAGAACATAGTAAATTCTACCCCTCAATGAAGCACATTTAAGTTAATCGTACCTCTTTAACACTTTAAAACTGTGAGTTAAAATATGAACTTAAATGTTTTTAAAAAATTCAGTGAAGTATAGCTGTTAGAAGAATAGCAGTAAGTACTGTAACCTGATACCCCTAAGATCTATTTGTCATCAGTCACATCAGCATATTTTCCTCAAAAAACCCCAAACTCTACAAGCAAGCACAAGGTAATAGACACACTTGCAATTATGCTTAGCTGTATTTTCTTCCAACAGTGTGCATGACACAGTTATCAGTTATGTATCAGATAACAGATTTATTTCTGAGGCTATCTGGTGCAAAGTACAACCAAAATAATACAACTTGCTATTCACATCCATTTCAGGGTCATAAATTAGAACTCCCTCCATTCCATTAATAAATACAAAAATTAGATAGAACAATACGTTGGCACAATAATTTTTCTAAATTTAAGTACATTTATTATCCCAAACCATGAACCAAATTTAACAATTTGCATTTTTGCATTTTGAAATTAATGTGAAAATATTTTAAAATAAAATAGCTAAAAATCAGCATTGCTTTTCCAATTTGCCAGTTTCTCAGTTGAAGGTATTGGTCTAAGACTAGATACTAACACCTAAATAATCTTTTTCACTCCTCCTTCACTGTTCTGGATGTACAGGAAAACAGACAAAAAGGACGCAATTTAATTAGGTATCAGCTTTATTAACTTCTCTCATCTGTGAATCATCATTCCAGCACTATCATGTAAACAACCCTTTCCCAATCCTTTCCATCAGCTGGAAGGCTGCCTTCAGTCCTCCACCTCTGCTCAGGTGGGCTCTGAGACTGTATCCTATGAGTCGTCAGTCATTTGGGATGGGGACCATCCCCTCACTGCACCCAACTGCATTTCCCAGGCTCTATAGACTGTGCCTTCCCCTAAGCTGCAGTTACTAAGAGAGCTGCAGCCCTGGTGAAACAGAGAACTGCAATGAAGAACTTCACTAAAGGGAAATGCAAAAAGGTGGTTTCAAACTGGAGAGATTGAATTTGTCTGTTCTCCATTAGGTACACAGAAACCGTTGGTATACCAGCTTGCAGTGCTTTACTCACTCAGTTGAGGTCTTTGCTTTCTGTAGTCATGACCTCCCCCAACTTCTGAAGAGGGAAATGTTAGGGAGACCATATGTTGCTGCTGTCAACAATCCTTCATGCTTGAGGTAATGGAAATTGTATTCCTTCTGTTTTTTTCACTGATGCAGCTTCAAGTTAGTAACATGTCTTCATATATGAAAAAGCTTATTTAAGTTTGTACACTTTGTGTCAAAAGAGCTCCTTGGATTTTTGCTAATTTGTTCTCCGTAACTTTTTTCTCATAACCATGATGAGTCTATTTCAGAAATGACGGTAACAGCAGCAACAAAACAAATGTGCTTCAGCACACTGAAGAGCATTGAAATGTTAGTCCTGTCCTTGATGGAAACGGGAGAGGAACACAGCGAGCCCCCTGTACTGTCTACATGGGAAGAAGTTACAGACAAGGCTTAGAGCAACATTGTGGCTGATGGTACTGTTTCATTCACCTTAGCTCTCCACACTAACTAAACACAGCCTTGAAGAAGGGAAAGGGGCTTGCTTTCTTCGGAGGTCTCCCAGACACACGCAAGAGACTATATGGTCCCTCCATTCAGTCACAGGCCAGCTGTGGAATTACTACCTCATATGCTAAATTCTTGCAATGGTAAATTAACCTTTGTGTTAAAAATCTGCACCTCATTTTTACTTTGAACTCTGCTGACTTCAGCTTCTAGCCACTAGATCTCGTGACACCTTTGTCTGTGAGATTAGAGAGTCTTCTAGTATCAGATAACTTTTCCTTGTGTCGGTAATTACAGACTGTGATCCAGTTACTGCTTAGCTTTCTCTTTGATAAGCTAAATAAACCAAATTTTCCTTCAGTCTTTCATTGAGATCAGATGCTAGGATACAGCTGGTATAGTGTATGTGAAATTCAGATGGTAAAGAACAGTGACTGTGGAGATTCCAGCATGTCCTTTTTTGAATGTATTCTGCTGCTTCTGATACATAATTCTCGCAAATACACGGGTTCTTAAGATACAGAGCTGAAATAGGGAGGAAAACGCTCAAGTTTAAAAAGCTAAAAGATGAGAAGAGACTCCCAGAGAGAGGAGTCTGAAATGTATATAGCTGTAACCAGATCTACAGCAGCCAGCAGATTTGCCAAAGAATTCGTTCCTTGCAAAACACCATGCTTCAGGAATTCAATTTTTTTCAAAAATGTTTCTACTTGTCCTATTTTTTTCTAAAGAAATATGTTTAATACTGACTCTATCCTATGCATTAACATTTTAGATGATTCACAGTAATACATTTACAATATCTTGATACGTACCATAGCTTAGTTATAGATCAACACTAAAAGCACATTCTACACTGACCATACACTGGTTGCCTTTTTCTTCCTCCTCTTCTTACTCAAGTATAAAGCAATCATAACTTCACAGAGGTACATTCACCCCACTATGAAATGAATGACTTAAGATAGCACTCCAGTAAAGCAGCAGAAAGGATAGGAAATCCGAGGAAAGGAAGGAGTCTATAATTCAATTACTATGTTCAATTATACTCTTCTTAACTGTCTATTAGTCCTACAAATATCAGATTATCATGTTGATATCAAAACATCTCAATTATTTCAGTATTTCTGTTGTCTTGTTTTCCTGTCCAAGATATACTACCCATTTTTGTCATCCTCCATAACATTCATCTAACACTGCTTTCCAGCAATGCATTAAACCTTCCATTATTAGGTATCTACTGTTATTAGGTCTCTACAGTTTACAGCAGAAATTACTGACATTGTTGCACAATTCTTTCTTGTTGTTGTTACAAGAGCCAAACAAAGTAATTTCATTTTTCTGAATTTGAATCCTTTAAAAGGTTTATATATATATATTTTTTTTTTCCCAGGATGATTTTTAGCATTTCACTTTCTCATATCACATGAATGAGGGCCTGGCTATTTTAAATTCTTTACAGACTGCATATGTTGTACATTTCATTATTCATAAAGACATGGAAAAAAAACACTTCATTCACCAAAAGACACTGAAATTATGTTAATTAGTTATGTGAAGCCAAAATTACTATGTGCTCCATCCAATATTTTGTTGTTGTTTATATTTAAAGCCAGTGCTCTTTATTCTGATAGCTTTATGAGTTTTTCTCCTAAAAACAGTCATGAAGACTTTTTGTTCTAGGCATGTCTTAATGGTTGAAACCTCATGACTAAGCACCGAATTTTACATAGGTCACAAATAAGTTGTTTTTAGTAAAATAAAAACCAACCAGCCAACCAACCATGTCTACATTTGAACTGAGCACACTTTTCATTTTTAATCAGCTGCAATCATTTGGTTGAAAGCTTATTTCTCCTTGTAAAACCCTTTCATTACTCAGAAATATGAGTACGTTTTAAATACAGTAATGGTTGCACTGGCCAGATGATAGACCAAGAATAAAATTTTGCTAGGATGCATTGCAGTAAGATGAAGCTGTCACCCTAACAGTGGGAATGAGAAGTCCCTAAACCTCAGGGTTCTGTGATATGGAACAACACCTATTGGTGACACTGACTTAGATTAGATTACTAAAGCAGCATGCGATGTTCAGATGGAAAGCTCTACAGAAGAGAAACAAAACCATTACTGAAGTGCTTTCCTACTTTGCTCAGATATGAAGGCTCCATTATTTTAATTTTTTTTGTGATGTAATGAAGATCTCTTCTTTTTTTTCAATTAGGAGTTGGGACATTTTTAATCATGAGCCTACTTCAGTAATTATTCAATTATTCATAATTAATTAATTGTTAATTGACAGCTAGAATTTTGTATTAGATTAACCAGATGACCAGAAATGTTAGTTTCCATTCTGCTAGAATCCATGATAGATTAACAGGAGAAACGTTTTAGTATTGAGGATTATTTTTTGCTACTTTACACCATTTTTGGTATCTCATAGCACCAGACACAGCACTGCAAAAGGATATTTCTTTTGATTGTTGTTTCTGGAATTGAAAAAAACAAAAAATCAGGTGTTAAAAAGAAATCAACGAAAGCAGCCTGTACAAGTCCTATCTATTCTCAGTTGCTAACTTTATGGTAAGAATGGTCACTTCTCCAACCTGTTGCAAAGAATTGTTGCTTATTGCTTGTGGTGGCTTGACCCTGGCTGGAAGCCAAGTGCCCACCAAAGCCACTCTACCACTCCCCTTCTCAACTGGACAGGGGAGAGAACATACAATGAAAAAGTTCATGGGTCGAGATAAGGACAGGGAGATCACTCAGCAATTACCGTCATGGGCAAAACAGACTCGAGTTGGGGACAATCAGTTTAATTTATTGCCAGTCAAAACTGAGTAGGGTAATGAGAAATAAACCCAAATCTTAAAACACCTTCCCCCCACCCCTCCCTTCTTCCCAGGCTCAACTTCACTCCTGATTTCCTCTACCTCCTCCCCCTGAGCGGTGCGGGGGGACAGGGAATGGGGGTTGTGGTCAGTTCATCACACGTTGTCTCTGCCGCTCCTTCCTCCTCAGGGGAGGACTCCTCACACTCTTCCCCTGCTCCAGCGTGGGGTCCCTCCCATGGGAGACAGTCCTCCATGAATATCTCCAATGTGGGTCCTTCCCATGGGCTACAGTTCTTCACTAACTGCTCTGGTGTGAGTCTCTTCCACGGGGTGCAGTCCTTCAGGAGCAGACTGCTCCAGCGTGGGTCCCCCATGGGGTCACAAGCCCTGCCAGAAAACCTGCTCCAGTGTGGGCTCCTCTCTCCACGGGGCCACAGGTCCTGCCAGGAGCCTGCTC